AAGGCAAACCGATGATTCCCAAACTACCCAGTTCAGGCGAATGAGTGGGATGATTTTCTTTCAATTTCTCCCTTTGACAGTGATTGGTGCCTGTAGTTGTTTGTTAGGTACCTTGATCACACCTCTATCTTCTCTATGTTCGCATAAAGTCTTGTATTCTCTATCCTTTTTACCAACCTGTCAGTTTTCGTTCGTTTATGATTACATTAGTGCATTATAAAACATAAATTATTTTCAACCCAAATCCTCTTGTGTCTTTTTATTGGTTCGACGTATTCTTGGCTTACCACTCTCGATTATTTCCAGCATGATCCAGTATGCTGGATTTCCGAAGGGATCTCTACTATTGGACAGTGTCGTCTTACTCCAGCGTTTGCTTGAGACATCTGTATTATCTTCCTTTTTTGCATTACTTAGCATATAGTATAACAATCACGGTTATTAAGGTAGTGAGAGATTAGTCACACTATCTTCCTGTGTACAGAGGCTGGGTTGAAGCCTTTTAATAGCAATAGTTTCTGCGGATCCAAATAACCATGGTTTTCTTTTTGTATTTGGTTTTTTTGAAAGTCTGAATATCTTCCACTGCATGTCTCGTGTCAATTAATTGTCTGGCAAGTGTACTTGAGAACACTTCGCTACCCTTTATATAGAGACCTCTAGGGTTATACTCAGAAAATCTAGTAGACACTTTCCTCTCAGTGTAACAACAGAAGACAAGGGCCAGGCAACAGATCGTTTTATTATGAAAATCAACACGTATTTATACATCTTTCAACTACATTATTATAGACAAGCGCAGTCATCTGATCGGTTGTTTAGGTAGACAAACGCAGGCTTCTGATTGGTTGTTTCGGGATTCCTTGACAAATAGAGTTCTCTCTGCGAATCATATTCTGCCACGTTAACTTTGCTGTGATTGGTTGTTGACTCAGGCTTGTTCATATTTTCTCACGGCCCATATTAGTGACCTAGACCTTAACGTAGATTAGTGCCAACCAATCGGCTAGCAGCCTGCTCTCACCACATCAGTACTTTTTACTAAATAGAACATCTAGCGAACTCTGAACATTCATCTCCATTGGAAAAATCCTTCAGAATCTTATAGAAGATCTGATTAAACCTCTCAAAGTCAGTCAGATCAAGATACATAGGCATAGCTGGGATACTAGCATTCCAAAAATGCAAACCAACATTGTATATTCAAAAGAATCACATCCAACCTTTGTTTTTGCCCTGGTCATCATACATAATCAATTTTCTGAATAATTCGTTATCCGATTACTTTTCTTATCGAAACTTATTCCCACTGTTGCGTTTTAAATTCCTATTTGTAATCTAGTTATCCGTTATAACTTGACCCTCCACTGGAAATACCTCGGGAAACTTTCTCAACCCTTTCGCTATATATATATATATATATATATATATATATATATATATATATATAATAACCACACGCACACCGAGGGCGTGGCTATCATGATGTCACCAACGGCAACGAAAGCCCTGATACAATGGGAGGCGATTTCGTCCAGGATAATGACCGCCAGGTTCAACTCCAAAGGAAGGAAAGTGTCAATCATACAATGTTATGCACCCACAAACAACGCAGACCTCGAGAAGAAAGAAGAATTCTACAGGCAACTACAGGCAACAATGGACAATACTCCAGCTGGCGACATGAAAATACTAATGGGAGACATGAACGCCAAACTGGGACCAGACAATACAGGAAGGGAACTCATCATGGGTAGAGAAGCTCTAGGAGAAATGAATGAAAACGGAGAACTCTTCGCCGACTTCTGCGCCTTCAACGAACTGGTGATTGGTGGCAGTGTATACAAGCACAAAGATATCCACAAGGCTACATGGGTGTCACCAGACGGGCAAACCAAAAACCAAATCGACTTCATCTCAATCTCAAGGAAGTGGAGGCGCAGCCTACTGGACACAAAAGCAAGAAGAGGAGCAGACGTTGGCTCAGACCACTATCTCGTACAAGGGACAATCCAAATCAAATTAAAAGCTTTCAGGGAATCAGGAGCTGCAGATAGACCACAAGCCAAGTTCAACACTCAAAAGCTGAAGGACCAGGCTACAAAGGACATCTTCATTGCAAGCATAAAGGACAAAGCCGAGACACAAATCAACACCAGCGAAAAGGTCGGCGTCGAAAAGCACTGGAACAACTTGAAAACGGTGTGGAGCCAAACCTGCATAGAAATTCTAGGCAGAAAAAAGAGACAGGACAAACAGTGGCTCACTACGGACACTTGGAAACTAATAGAAGAGAGAAGGACAGTGAAGCAAAAGATTATCCAGTGCACTGACGAGCAACAAAAACAGGAGCTGAATGCAAGCTACAATACACTGAACAAAAGAGTGAAGAAAAGTGCCAGGGAAGACAAAAGAAAATATTATGAAACCATGGCAAACGAAGCAGAACAAGCTGCAGGCAAAGGAGACCTCGCCACACTCTACCAAACAACTAGGAACCTTTCGGGCAAACGTTCGACACAGATTAAGCCAATAAAGGACGACAATGGAAAGTCAATCACCAAAGAGGTGGAACAGAGAAAGCACTGGGTTGAACACTTCAAAAGACTTCTAAATCGTCCGCCACCTACAACACGTCCAGCAATACCAACAACGGAAGCAGAACTACCAGTGAACACTGACCCCCCGACGAAATCAGAAGTCCTGAATGCAATCAAGATGCTTAAAGCTGGGAAAACACCGGGACCAGATGGAATCCCAGCAGAGGCTTTGAAAATAGACCCAGAGACAACAGCGGACTTGATGACACCACTGCTGGAGAAGGTGTGGAAAGAGGGCAAAGTACCCGAGGATTGGAAGAACGGATACTTATTCAAACTTCCAAAGAAAGGAGACTTAAGTCAATGTAAAAACTGGCGTGGAATTATGCTTCTGTCCATTCCAAGCAAGATACTAAGTCGCATCATCCTGGAGAGAATCAAACAAGCCCTAGATGAAAAACTTCGTCCGGAACAGGCTGGATTCAGGAGAAACAAATCATGTATTGATCAAATCGCCACTCTACGGATCATCATTGAACAAAGCTTGGAATGGCAGTCACCTCTCTATCTCAACTTCATCGACTTTGAAAAGGCCTTCGACAGCGTCGATCGAGAGGTCATTTGGAAACTACTTCGCTACTACGGGGTCCCATCGACAATTATACACCTCATCCAACAGTTATACGACAATGCTGCATGCCAAGTAATCCACAACGGGAAACTTACGGAAGCCTTCGAAGTGAGGACGGGAGTGAGGCAAGGCTGTCTACTATCACCAATGATCTTCCTGATTGCAATTGATTGGATAATGCGACAGACAACGGCAACCAACGAGGGAACAGGCATAAAATGGACTGACACAAAAGACTTGGAGGATCTGGATTTCGCCGATGATATATGTCTGATTTCCCATAAACTGGAAGATATGCAAGTGAAAAGTAACAAGTTGGCAGAAGAAGCATCAAAGATAGGACTTCACGTGAACATAGATAAAACAGAGATGATGAAGATTCCTAGCCAACATCAACAGCAACAACAACAACAGACAACAATAAGCATAAATGGGAAGAACCTGAAAGAAACAACCTCCTTCACCTACCTGGGAAGCATCGTCTCAACTACAGGCGGAACTGACGAGGACATCAAAGCCAGAATCGGAAAAGCAAGACAAGCTTTCATTACTCTCAAATCTGTGTGGAGGTCAACAGCACTCAGCATCAAAAATAAGATCCGGATTTTCAACTCCAATGTGAAGTCAGTGCTACTATACGGATCAGAGACTTGGCGAGTCATAAAGAGCATCTCAAACAAACTTCAAACCTTCATTAACAGCTGTCTCCGCTCAATACTCAAGATCAGATGGCCAGAAAAGATCAGCAACAGGGATCTCTGGGAGCGAACCAATCAGGAACCGATTGTGAAACAAATAGGCAGAAAGAAATGGAGATGGATTGGCCATACGCTGAGGAAACCATCAAGTGACATCACTAGACAAGCCCTCGAGTGGAACCCGAAAGGGAGGCGGCGAGTTGGTCGTCCAAGGGTGACTTGGAGGAGGTCATGCGAGGAGGAGATGAAAGCATGTGGACAGACCTGGAGCAGGGTGAAAAAGTTGTCAGAAAACCGAAGTCAATGGAGGTGCGCAGCTGAAGCCCTATGTTCCTCTAGGAACTAAAGGATACAATAATATATATATATATATATACGAATGTATTCGCTCTATACTGAAGATCAGATGGCCGGGCCGGAAAGAATCACCAACAAGAAACTACGGGAAGAAACAAAACAAGAACCAATCGCCCAACAAATTTGCAGGGGAAAGTGGAGATGGATCGGACACTCACTGAGGAGGCCGCTGGGTGACATCGCGCGCGCGTCAGGCCATTGCTCGAGTGGAACCAAGCCGAAAGGGAAGCGGCGAGTGGGTCGTCAGTGCAAGGGCGATATGGGGGAGATCGTGTGAAGTGAAGAGGAGTTGAAAGAGTATGGACTAACGTGGATGGAGGTGAAAAGTACAGCAGAAGGAAGACAGAAGTGGCAAGTGGAGACGTGCAGTTGAAGCTCTTCATTCCACTAGGAACCCAAAGGAACAATAATAATTATAATAAGAATGTATAGCCTAGTTGATGACTTCGCTTCTTCTTTGCAACCGTCTTTTTAATTTTTTTCTATGACATAATGTGTATATTACGCAAATACCATTTTGGTGGATGTCACTTAAACAGAGGGAATCGACGAAAACCCCAAGTGACAGTCACAAGCGAATAAAAGATAAAGGTGGTTGTTTAAATAATGTGATATTTTAAAATAAAATTAAAGTCCATTGTTTGACAGTGCAATATAATCTTTTACAAAAAGGAAATATTAATTATTTCAACTTTGAAAGATTGTTTCTAGAATATAAAAATTATTAATGAATTCCACCTTGTTGTACTATAGGTATATATCGTAGTCATTTGTTTAATTTGTTGTTGCTTTTTGTTCGGCTAAATTTTGAGCTAATCCATATTGAATAATTAAGCGTTCAATACTTTCCACATCAAGCCATTTCGGTGTATTACTTGGATTATGACATCCATAAGAGTATTCACAACTAATCACTGGTTCATATAATATTGGATGATATGGTGTTGTATCTTTACGTCCACACGTGCCACAGATAACAGATGTTTTGCATGCTCTATTATCTTCTACATTATTAAGTGAATTATTGAAATTTAACATATTTTTATATTTCGTAGGATATTTCATGATTTCTACCTTTATTTAATATGAAGTGAATCTACAGCTCACTGTCGTGTATTATAATAGAATTATCGTGTTATTGATTACTTGCTATTTTGATTGATTTTCTTATGTTTAAATAAAACTTCTTGATGCTACTGTGACATGTGCTACTGACAAAATTTATAAGTAGTATATAGGAGCTAATATAAATATGAAAATCATCTACAAGGACATCGGATAACGGAGATATGAATTTTAATGTAGAAGAGAGGAAAATAACGATGCTTTGGGACAACTTGGAAGAAATTAAGGGAAGATACAACGCGGAATATATGTGCAAGATATGTAAGGCAGAAGTATTTTACCCATTTTTTTGCATTCAGTTGCCAGTAAATAATACCTTTGCCAAATACTTTTGTGTTCTGACGTTACATCTGGCGTCGCTGCCTTTGGAGAATGAAGATCCCATGGCCTGCAACTTTCAAAGAGGGAGCTGCTTTTGGGGAGTCCAGTGCCGTTTCTGAGTCGATGGGCTTCCATGACCGGATGTGGAAGACGCTTGTGCTGGGAAAGCTGCTGATAGATCCGGAAAAGGCAGTGTTTGACAGTGTGGGAGGTATAGCAAGCAACGCGAGAATTCCGTGCCTTTGAAGCTAGGATCGGATGGAGACCCTATGGTATTGGCACTGAAGCTAACTCGTCTACTTCGGTGCCGGTTTCTCACACTTGTTGAAGAGTCAGCGACCCAGTTATTGGCCTCCCAGTTTATTGAAAGTTTTCCAGAACGCATCTCTCAGCAACGAAAAATGGTTGATGCTGCACAACCTATGAACATCGGTGAGCTCACAAAGGCAAACATACAGCTACAACGCACAGCTTTGGGTGCAACGGAGTCACCAAAAATGAACCAATTGTAAAATAAAATCGAAGATCTGCAGATAATGAAAGTGTTTAGGTCTGTGACCATTCCCCACTAATATAACTGTTCATCAGCACACGTCACACCACCAGATGTGATCCTTTGTAATAAACGAATGAGTAATGCAGAAAATGTTTGGTGATTATGTAACTAACATTTAATGATTCATTTTCTTAAAATTCTGGCTGTATGTTTAAAAGTGATGATTTTTGAGTTAACAAAATGCTTGTTTGACTAATGATTATTTGGGATTATGTTCATTTTGACGACACTAGAATATTCTATTGGTTTTACCGGTGTATGTGTCACCAGAACTGCTGGTGAACTTGTAGGTAAAAGTGTGAAGTAGAGTCCACAAAACTTTGTCTTTTAATCTTAGGTACAGGAATCGAAAATGTTCGAGGTGTAAGCGAAAGAGATGGGGTGTGGTATGTGAGGTTGATAGGTGACTGAAGCTTTCGAGGTGCTAGTTATTATTATTATTTTCTGCAACCTTCTCGCAGGTTTACTATAAATACACGAATGTACAGCCTAGTTGATGACTTCGTCAAAGAGGAAATTTTCTTCGTTGCAACCGTCTTTTTAATAATTGGTTATTTTCAAGAATCATTTTGTAAGAATTTAATATTTTTCAAGGTTTGATCACGGTTCACTAACAGTTAGAGAACCCTTAGAAAACAGGCAGTAATGAACCACTGTTTCGTCCTAGTTCGGAGCTCTTCAGTAGAACACTCCGGGGTTCGATCCCAGGGTGTTTCGATCATAAGGCAAACTCGTAAACCATTCAGGTACTGGAACCCAATCCTGTGGCTCATGAATCCTAACTTCTGTCAATTTGTATACTGTTGAAAGGTCCCAAACTACGGTGGAACAGCTGTCCACTATTCCCTGGTTTTTGACGGTTTTCTAACTGATATCAATCCAACGTCAGACTTGAAACAGATCAAATCTGTACCTGTGACAATATCAATAACTTGGTGTAAAATATCTGCGGATAAATAAGACGGAAATGGAGTAGATTGTTAACATTTAGAAGGAGTTGATGAGACATGGAGATATACGACGACCTATTCGTGATGACCCAATGATATTCCAGGGTAGACATAGAGATTGAATATACCTATTTTTGTGCTTTGGTTAGGTATTTTCCCAATTTCTATAGCTTCAGCTGTGTCAATGAGGCGTAATTGTGTGGCATTTAGTAAACTGTTCATCGCTGCACTTATGAACGGTAATGTCTCTTTTATTTCGGCAATATATATTGATCTGGTTACTCCTTTTACGAGTCAAAGTTGCATATATTCAAGAGTACGTGAAGAGAAATACCTTTGACTAAGGCTTATACAACTGGCTTCACAGAAACAGACATTAATGTTGCCGTCGTCGGTAATTTATATTTAATACACTGTTTCAGTATAGGTCTGGTTAAGTAAATGATATGCTGAATTTTACATATTCAGGACAGGATTCAGCATGACTGCGTGTTTATGGACCTTCAGTCAGCCTTAAAGTCAGTGGTTCGATCATTCCTCAACACCGATTACGAATGCATTTATTTAGTTGTATATATATATATATATATATGAGTACATTTACTGCATGAGTAGTATTGACACATCATCTGCCCTTATAGCTGAATAAAAGTGACCAAATAAATACTTGACCAAACATATTTTTCAATGTTCTGTTTACACTACTCACAAGTAGCTAAAAATATCAAAAGAAATAATTACGCTTTCGATACTTAATTTTTCGCGGTTGGTAGCGGTTAAAAGACGTGTGTTTCATACAGTTGGAAACTTTCCAGGCAGATAATTTTCTTACAAAGAATTGATTGATCAGACTAGAAGGTTCGACCTCTGTTGACATGTTATCTGTGCACACGGGGTGGCTCTCGTGTCCAGATGGTCTAGTAGCTAATTCCTTGGTGTTTGAAGCGATGGTTACTGAGTTCGAGTCCCAATGGAAAACCATCTCTCGCTGGGGCGTGTAGGTACATCCACGTGATGAGATCCAACTGTGGGGTGCACATCGTGGACTCCACTGCTAGTCACTATGTATCAAAATTGTAAAACTAATGTTCACAATCTCGGAAGGAATGAGTCAATCACATTGTGGAATATGGGCTGTCTAAATGACTACTTTTATTTGCTTTTATATGCATGTAATATCTTCAACTAATACTTTAGTCAGTTTATGCAGCAGTGACACTTGTGCTGAATCACTTATATTAAGCATATTAAGATCGACAGACACGAAGATGGATATCCAGTATCTGCCTTTTTGTTCATCAGTTCACAAGGGACCTTATTATATAAGCGCTAGTATAACTTATGTTTTACTTCTTATAGAAGAGATTTTATGGTTGTATTTGTTTCCTCAAGTATTAGTTTCTTATATCGTATACCTTTTAACCTTTTATGAATTATCGATATTTATCGGATTGACTTTAACTGAGTTTGTCGTTGACCTATATTGTTAACTAGACATTTAGAACAGGATAATTTGCACTAGAAATAATGTTTTCGTCGGATTGCAGTTATAAATGAATTATGTTAATTGATTAATCATTTTATAGGCTCTCCCATTTAATTTACTTTGTTCTGACGAAATATTTTGGTTAAGAAATATGTCAAATACATGCTGTGATGAACCATTAATATTTCTCTTTCTTATCCATTTCTGTGAGTGTTTTGTGAAGTTTATTTTTACCGACGTAACTTCTCTCTTCCTAATCATCATTCGGCATATTCAATCCCCAATAAAATTTTGAATTACAGTGTTTATGTATTTCCAATAGCTGTTAGATAATGTCATGAGACTACATGTTACAGTTTACAGAGCCCATGAAGTATCACTATTTCTGTAGTGATAAGGTAACCTGACAGATGATCCAAAAAGTTTGTCGAATGCATTGGTTTTCCATGAATCGTAATTCTTGAAGTGTTACTCAGTTTTCCTGAATCATTACCTACTTTCACGAGTGCACGTAACAAAGACAGTTGAAAAAAGTTATTGACATTAATGAATGCAGCGCTGGGAGTGAAGATGAATACTCATTGATAACATTGTCTGGTGATTGCGCTAAAATCAATAACTTTTAAGAGTTGGAATTCATAGGCCATTGGATCAAGTCCCAGTGACCGAATGATCTACGAGCTTCACTTGTAACTGGAAGGTTGTGGGTGAGTGCTGTGGGAGATTTCCAAACTAGAATGTAATAGATGTCCAGTACTCTTTTATTTTCAACGGTTCTTTAACTGATGTCAATCCGTGGTCGAACTTGAAACAGATGAGATTTCTACAAACTAACTCTTGAAAAAGATATTTAGGTAAAAAGTGAAGGTATCATGGGTTGGAATGTTTGCCAATCACACATGTGGTCTGGAGTTCGATCCCTGGTCCACGCACTCCTAAACCTCACTAAACCGTTGGCGAGATCGGTGAAGAGGCAAGGTTGGGTGTGGAGCTGATAATTCCACCCGTAAAAGTAGACACCACTGCTACTGAAACTTCAAAGTTGTAGCTTAAAACCCTATGTTCTATTAGGGACGTAAAGGAATAAAATAATTGAAAATCATGTATTGGATAGCTATCTGTAACTGTGTTAATATGGAAGGAGTTTTAGCGATGGATCAGGGTGACTAAAGGAATCAATCTTTTACCATGAAATTACCATGATTAGAATTTTACCGTTCTGCACAGATGTTTAGTACAAATGCATAAGGAATTCTGTAGACTCATATTTAAAAAAATTATTTTGGACAGTATAAATGAGAGCGATGTTGTGTAGTTTACCTTTTAATCATATATGCAACATGATTACTTGTACATAGTCGTTATGACTTTTTAATCCTGAACAAATGTCTTATTTACCAGACTATGAGATACATTTATCGTGTGAGTACTAAGGATAATACTCAGTTGCTTAGAATGAAGTCGATGTAGCGGAATTTGAATTTGGTATTTAATAGCTGGAGGTCCAATGCCTATACCAATGATCCGCATATCCATACTTATTCAATAGGTCAACGTTGTTCTACATGTCATATCAGTCGACAATCATCAATATGGTTCA